CCTTGCGCCATCTCGTCCGCGGCAACTTCATCGTCGGCAACTTCATCGTCGGCGACCTCACCGTCGGCGGCTCCATCGTCCAAGACCGGTCGACCACCCTGATCACGCCGGATGATCACAACCCCTTGCCGCATAGCTTCCCCACCACCGGAGGAAATATTACCCACATCGGAAGAGCTTCCGACACCGTCGCCGGACCTAGCGTCGTATGACGGCGTCGCCGGAATCCCACCGTCGCCGCCGCTGCATCCACCGTCAGATCCGCCATCCCAATCTCCAGAACCACCGCCCCCGTCACCGGAACGGTCAGAAGAAGTGTGCGAGAGAGGGGATAAATTACCTTCTTCGCCTTGCACGACCTCGGCCTCGTTGTTGTTGATGCTGGACATGATGTCGACTCGAAACTTAACAACAGCAGAAGAGGATTGAGGTTGCAGAAGGAGGAGAAAAATCTCAGAGGAAGCAAAGTGGAGCAATAATCGGAAGAAACAGATGAACCCTTCTTCCCCACAACAACCCATATTTATAATGGGTTAGAGGGAAAACAAAGGGCCAATGTCGGCCAGCGGAATCCGAAGGGTTAAAGCTACATAGGGATCCGTAACCGTCAGATCCCACCAAATCTTTTCGAAATTCAAAAAATCCCCGCCCAAATAGCCTAACCACACACTGACACGTGGTCACCTATCAACATAGGCACTAGTCGGCGACGCCACAAGTGCCGCGCACCGCCTGGGGGGCAGGACATACCCGCGAGGAAAGAAAAACTCGCCTCGCGCAACACCGGATTTCGCGCGAACGAACAGAGCCCAACAGCGAGCGCGCGATGCCCGCGGGGGAAGAAAAACACGCCTCGCGCATCGTGCGCCGCAAAAGGCGCGACGCGAACAAAGCGCGCGAACGAACAGAGCCCAACAGCGAGCGCGCGATGCCCGCGGGGGAAGAAAAACACGCCTCGCGCATCGTGCGCTGCAAAAGGCGCGACGCGAACAAAGCCCTACTACAAGCGCGGTGAAAAGCCCAATAACGAGCATGCGAGCGAGCGCCATCAGTAAACGCGTCGCCGGCTCATAACATCGCGCGCGACGAAGAACCCAAACGCGAGCACAAGCAGGAGCCAACCGATGGCGACAAGTAGAGTAAACGAGCGGAATAAGCCCAAAAGACCAGCCTCACGGAGATCACACAGGCCCGAGTCCGTCAAGGAAAAATCCAAACAGGAGGTGTTCACAAAACACCCCCTGATGGGGGGCAATTGTTGGGCATGTGACTCGGGCCTAGCCGCGCCAAAGAACAAGTCGGGCCCGGCCACGTCGAGGAACAGGTCGCGACTGGATGGACCCCGACATGGCAGCGCGAGGACCCCGAGCGCCACGCCGCATCGTAGTCAACCACGTCTTGGCGCGAAGAGCTTAGGCACGAGGCGAATTACAAGCGCCGAGGGAGAGCATAGCATAGGCCAAGCCAAGAGAGAAGGGGAGCGTAGCTTTCCTTCCCAAGAGGCAGTCACATCAGGGCCATTGACGGGTCTCTGACACGTCCTAGGTAGAGGGATGGCCTGGACAGGGCCTAAAATCCTTAGTGTGTCAGTGGTCACATCATTGTATCCCAATAGTCACATCGTTGTATCCCCACTTGAGTCAACCACTCACCCACCACAACGAAGCCTATAAATACGGCATTTACTGCGGTGGGTGAGGGGATGGCATTTTTTCACCATTCTCCCTCTATAGCAACTACTTCTCTTTCTAGAAATCGGATCCTCGTTCTCTCTCACTCTTTAATTCTCGTCCCTCCAATCGACCCTAGCACTCGCGTTTCTTCTTGACCCACACTCTCACTCGAACCTCACTCCTACTCTCAGTTAGGTTCAAACACAATCCAAGACAAAATGCTGCATGAGTGGAAGGCGAAGGGTCGTGGCCTCATAATTCCGAACCCGGCTGCCGCTGCCTTTAACCCTAGGGGAGAGATTCAAGAACCCGAGATGCATGCCATGCGTACAGGAAGTCGGCGGAACGTAAACAACAATCCTCGAAGCAGAAAACGGTCAAAATCTGGGTTCGCAAATTAGGCGCTACCATTAAGCCCACTTCTCTGATACCGGCCCATAAGGAGTTTTCCGGGTGCACTACTTTGACCCCAAACCGGAGTCCAGCCCATCTTTTGACCTCAAACTCTAAGCCTAGCCTACCTGAAGCCCTTCAACCTCGATTCTCTGTCGAAGCTGATGGCTCTCGATGGAGAGTCTCAAACCTTTCCCAACACAGTACCAGCCTTAGATTCTCATTCCTCTTTCCTTCCCCAATCACTCTAACCCTAACCATCCACTTTCATTTCTTCTATCCTTACACCACCCTCAAAAACTACCCTACCTCCACTCCAACTTCCATCATCGCCATAACCCCTATTACCCACTCTTCCCTCAAATTTGGAACTTATTCCCCTTTCACCACTTCCCTCACCCCATGCCCCCTCACCCGTTGCTGAACAAGAGCTTACCTTCCCTTTCCCCAAAGAGTTTACCCAATTCTTTGAACCTGAGCCCGCCGAACTGACGTCCCAGTGTGTAACTCCCCCGGAGCCCCTTGATGGGCCCCTTTTCGAGCTTGAATCATTGGTTCAGAGGAGCAACTCAGTGTGCCAAGTCTTTGAATTGGAGGAGAAACCGATCGAGGCAGGAACAAGATCGATCATTGCGGACATTGCAGAAAAGGAAGAGAGTGCAGAGAACTAGAAATGAAATGGAAATTCTCCGCATTGGTCCAATTGCACCACAACCGGATGGACCTCGTTCCAGTAATTAAGAAGAAGGGTTTGAAGAAAACAAAACCTCATAAATGAGCAGAAGCCTTATCGCATGGAATGTGAGGGGTCTTGGAAGTGATGATAAGAAGGCAAAGATTAAGAGGATCCTTCAGAGACAAAAGCCTTCGATTGTTGGAATCCCTGAAACTAAATGGAGTTCGTGTAGTCGAAGCGCGGTTGTCGCGGTTATTGGGAGCAGGCATATTGACTGGGTGGCTAAAAACTCCAACAACAACAGCGCAGGTATCCTGATATTCTGGTTTTCGCAATTTTTCAATAAGTTAGATGCGTGGGAAGGAAATTATAGTCTTGCGGTGACGCTTGAGGACACCGAGTCTAAGATGACTCTTACTTTGCTTATCGTTTACGGCCCGCAAGACAGAGCAGGAAAACTCGCTTTTCTGGAGGAGCTTAGAGCCTTTTGTTTGAACGCATCTCACCCCATCTACATTGCTGGAGATTTCAATTTGGTGAGAGATCATGAGGAGTACATGGGAGCCACGAGAAACTCAGACCTAATGTTCGAATTCAACTATACCATCTCGGAGTCGTCCCTAATGGAACTTCCACTCATGGGCGCTCGCTTCATCTTCAGCAACCTCCATGACGAACCGTCTATGTCTAGAATCGACAGAGCCTTTATCTGCCCTCGGTTCGACTCTTTGTTCAACAATTGCAAATTACAGGCTTTGACTAGAGTTGAGTCGGATCATTGCCCGCTGAAAATGGAGTGGGGAAGTAATGACAAACTTCATAGGTATTGCAAAAATGGCGATCTTCGTGCTGGTGGCTGAACAGCGGCAACGGCGATGATAATAATCAATTGCCACGGTAGGGATGTTGCTGGGAATGAAGGGACAGCCAGGACGACTATGATTACAGTCTGAAGGTGGTTCAGGATTTGAGTATCCATGGATGGGGAAATTGAATCGGCGACGGTTAATTGGAACAACAACGGCGGTGATGGCCGACCAGCAACAACAACGGTGATTGATTGGAACAACATAGACGATGATGAGATGACCGGGCGGTGGCAATTGGTTTGATGACGGTGGTGACATTGACTACCGGGGATACGAAATCTGGATATGGTTATGGCCGATGGCGACAATGGTGATGGTGATTCTGGATTGTCGCGGCAGGAACGATGCTATGGATGACCAGAAAGCGGCCACGGCGCTGATGACGGTGGTGATTTTGCCAGATGAAGTTGGGATTTTGGTGGTGAGATCGATGGAAGACAATAGCGAGGCGGTGGATTGCTGCGACGGAACGAAAGTGTTGCCTTGATTGGGGAAGGACAACGAGTGAAAGGGAAACGACTGTAATGCGTTTTGTTTTGTTTTTTTTTTTACTTTTTTATTTCTTTATGTTTTATTAATTAAATAACTAAACCTGAGCTACTCAATAAATTAGAAACCCAGCCATCTTAACCGGTTAGAAAAAAGTGGCGGCAGTGGTGCCATCACTGCACCAGAGAATTCCCCACTTTTGCATCCGCTTTTCACAACAAAACTAGAATCAATACCCGCGGCGTAGCCGCGAGAAATATATGGACATTAATGGCTACACCTTTGGAAATATTTAGGCAACCACATATCTTATTGTGTTCACATGTTTAGTATCTTTTAAAAAATACTCTAAATTTTTGCATTTGCTTGATTTATGTAAAGCTCATTTCATATACTTTATTAAGCAATATAAATTTAACTCGCAACCATAACTATTCTATACAAAATCTAAGATGATAACACAATGAATCATCATTGGCTTTTAAGTTACATATAGAATCCGGAAACTACTCATAAGCATGGAAATGGTCAAAATAGATAAAAACATGATTTGTAAGGTTAATTAGTGACCTATTATATTGATCATGTGTTAAGAAAATACTCAAGGAATACAAATATCATGCAATAGACATGTAACTTACATATACTAAGCAACCCAGTGGTATCAACACTAAGGCCAACAACATAGTGAACCATAATTATGCAGACAACTCATTTTGGTCCATCCAACAAATAATAGACACCCTCAAACTGCAACAGGTTAGGTATACTCAGGGTGAAGATATCAAAACCAGGGCTAACACTCATCATTCCTTGTGTCCCAGCCTTGGATAAACAAAAGATGGTCAAAACAAAGAACCAACAACCCAAAATAACCAAGGGACCCCTACATAATTGCCTATAGAAAAATAAACCCACATCTCCCCGCCAAATACCAATGACTACTTATATTTACATAACATCATTTTCATCAGCAAGATCCCATACCATTAGTCAACGAAAGCAACCTGCACGAAAACAAAAAACAAATTACTATATGTATAGCCATACAACCAACAACATATGTACAAATTAATTTCTCATTGCGTTTAGAACAAAGTAACGAACATCCACATGTTTTGTAGAGACGTCTGTCAGCAACACTTGGTGTTTGAACCCTGAATGTAGGATTCGTCATTGGAATTCTTTGCTACTCCATCATCCGGTTTCTCCACCTTGACTTCTGGCAAAGAATAAACCAATCTAAAGCCAGTTGAACTAAAATATCAAACCATAGTACAAAATGTTAATAATGCTTATATGAGCATGCCTATACAAAAGGGAAGAACGTAAATTGAACAGGAACCTTGATGGTTCGTAAGGCCCAATCCCTAAGGATTGGGCGGTAATACATCGAAGAAATTATAGAAAGTTGAAAGACAAAACTGAACAGCTGCCCAAATGACAAAGAGAGAACAACAAATTTAAAGATCTAATCATAACAACTTGGGAAGTAAATAATCAAAACTCAACATGATCGTTGATCTTTTGAGCGGAAAAAAGCGAAAATTAAAATTAAGAACAATTGATTGAACTCACCACATATAGAAATGCCAACTTATGCTTTGGTCTAGCCATATTGACCTTCGCTGTTGTTTCTTCTTTGCTTGCACCAAACCTCTGAAATGCAATCTTAGAGTTGAGTTGACCCTCAAAATCATACACCTACAGGTCCTAGTGTTCAAGAATTCCACCATAGAACTGTTATCACAACATGGATTAAGAACACATAGAAATATATGGTAACTTAAATTCATCCCTCCTATTGTCGAAATAAACCTCTTTGATGAAAATAAATCTTGACGCAGTTATACAAACTATTAATTCCAGGCACCATTACTTCATATGATTCCAAGTTTAATTTCTGAAGTCTATTTTCACGAACCCACATGAAGGAAAAAAACAGCTTATTAGAGATTAAAATCGCCTAGCCTTTTTAATCTCTTTGACTCCACTTACCCCTCAACAACTGGAATAGCGCCTCCCTTACCGACTGGTTGTTGCATAGAGTTGGCGAACTACTAACAGAATGCTGAGATTAAGGTTGCAGTTGAACCTGCACATCTATATGTTTTGAAGTCGAGACTCTTTTGTTGTAATGAATCGCATCTCTGACATCGTGATTAAAGGCCCTGCACAATGTCCATCTTTGATGCATAAGACCACAAATAGATGAAGTTCAGTTGGTAGAAGTTGGAACCATAGAATTATAGTATTAGTTCCTTAAGAAGTTCAACTTAACTTGTCTCCATCAGAAAAGATTAGTGTTACTACAGTGAAGTCTGGCTCTTGTTCCTTACCACTTGATGTTTGAAGTGTTTAGCAAGCTTGTTGGGTGGTTCTTCGAATCCTTGATCCGAACCACCCTTCACCCCATGATCCATCGAACCATTAGAATACGAAGGCATCTGTTTAAGAGGCTGTGACCCAGATGTTGAGTAGGAAATCAAAAGAAGGCTGCAGGGGACTATTGGACTGCTGGTCTTTGTTAAAGGGCCAACTCCTCCATCATCAACTACTGGCTCCATGGAAGGCGTAGTAACTCGAAAACCAGAACTGCAACAGAAACACAAAGGGATTGATTAGCTTGCAGGCTTTGAATAAAAAGCATATGCTGAGAATTCTAAACTGCAAGTACTAATTGTGCTGATTCATTCACTCACGCCCCAAAAGAAACGAATCAAGGGAATGTGACAATTTCCAGGATTTCTCCCAATATCTAATATATGATTTTCTCATTGATGGTGAAACACCGTACCGATAACTCTGGCCATTGCCGAGAGGTGAAACTCCCGACAGCTTCGCCACCGTCCTCATCCTTCTTCTTCTCTTTGTGACCTTCCGAGTCGGATATGATGTTGGTGGACCTCGAGCAGGGAGAGCAGAAAGCATCCATGAGAGCTAAAACAAACGACTTTGTTTGGCTATGTTCGGCGGCAGCTGAACGAATCAAGATTTAGTCGATAATTTGTAGGAAAATAAACGATCTTCACTCGGTCCTCGATGGTGCCATGGAGGATTCTCACCATTGTTGCCTATGAGTTTTCCCCGGCGGCTAGAGTCGAAGGGGAGAGAAAGAACATAAAGTATTGGGATACGGATGAGAGTTAGAAGATAGTGGGTTAGATAAGTGGAAAGCAAGTAGATGGAGAAAAGACAGATGGTATAGGGAGATGGAGGGATGATTTTGTGGAAGAAAGTCAGTGATTGCGTGACAGGTGAGGATAGAGCATGGGAGAGGTGGTTGGTGGAAACATAGGGAAGGTGAAAGGACTGCAAGTCTACAACGGAGGGAAGGGGTGAAAGCTATTTTTTTCACACCATTAGATTGCTTGCAAAGTTGGAGAGATAGTTGTGGATTGGAAGGAAATTGAGAGTGATGTGATTGGAGAGGAAAAGTACAGAGAAGAATATGGCAGGGCGAGGGGGGCTGCAGGGAGAGCACTTCCTAATCTATTTTTCCTTTTCTGTTTTACAGTTTTTGAGTTCTCCATCTAGTGTAGGATTGAGGAAGACGGGAGAGGGAAAGCCCTTCACTAACGGACAAATAATGAAACAGTAACATTAAGTTTTGGCCAAAAAAGCGTACCTAGCTTTCATGTTCTATATAATAATATCCATTGGTATAGGGATGTTATGGTATTAACATGTACAAATTATTATATTTGATCTTAATGTAACATTTTTACTTTTAAAAGTAGAGCATGAGCTATGAATTATTAGAAATTTATAATCTAAACGTGAATATAATATAAAATATATTTAATTTAATTTCTTAAAATATGCAAAATAAATAGGCTACACATATTTAATAAATGAAGCACCAAATAAATAGGGTAAAATAAGATGACTCCACCATACTAAGAGAACCATAGTTGTAGTGGTATTTAATAAGTATACGGATAGTATACGGCTATATTACAAGGATATATTTCTTCTTTCTTATGAAGAACCATCTTCATGCAATCACTTCCTGATTAGATCCATGGACTATTGATCTTCAGCAGACACCATGAGTACATGACGCTTCCCCAGAATGCAAGAGTGCCCAAAACAACCACCACCCGAACCCACGCAGAGGAAATGAAAGCCTGAAACACAAATTGATTCCATAGCCAACACCACAAGGCTGAGAAACTTGTACCCACTGCTGCTCCAACCACAACTTGGCTCCCTGTGTGCAGTTTCTGCGATACTCTTAGCCACGACTGCCAATGGAAACAATACAAAAAAAAAAAAATTTAAAATTCTCACCACCTCAGAGATCAAGTTACGCATCCTTGACATGGAATTATGAAATATTTTGTTCATAAAGTTAGACTAGCTATGTGAATTCATGTTAAAATGTTACATGCGTAGGCGATCATTTTCTCTCCAAATACCAGGTCCGAGGTTGCTAGTGATGACAATGGTTGGGACGTGGCGGATATATCAATACCCATGTCTGCTTCACAAGTAGATGGAGTCTTACAATTTTTTGGGATGAAAATAAATATTCTAAAAAGGTTAATAAAGAGAAAAATTACAAGTAGATATCCATACAGTCCTGATGATAAACAGATGGAGAATAAAGCGAGAGAGGACAAGGCAAGCTTGTGTGTTGGATAATAGCCACCCAAACAAATCGGGTAGCGCGGGTCTTATAAAAAATTGTCGTTTGCACCATATCATATCTGATTATGGGAATTGAGAACGTAACAACATAAGCCCTAAATTCAGCTGAAGCTATAGAAAGATTGTACTTACGAAATAGGAGGCACATGCCAAAAGTAATGCACTGAGGATGACTGAAGTAGCATTTACTCCTAGCCATTCAAGAGCTGCATGCCAACACGGAATTCAGAACCCAATTATATTATTATATAGGGATTTTGGATCAAAGAAGTACGACCCAAGCAGCCAAGTGAAGAGAAGAGAAGAGAAGAGAAGAGAGCAAATATATATACTTGCGAGAACGCCAAAAGTAAGAAGGTAGAATATATATTGAGCGTGTGAAGAAGGCATTCCAGGGTCAGATCTCTTAGTAGCAAGTGGCCTCTCCTGCTTCAGAATCCGCTTAAGTGCCACCGAGAGGACACAACTAACTATAGCACCTGCAGCTACCCACAGCACGTCTGCGTTATGGTGCCTCCACACGAAGAAAGCGCCGAAAATCGCCGATACTAACCATTTGCTCTGCCACCAACCCATCCAAATAAAAACACAAATTGAAACCTCGTTTAACCCAAGGCCCTGAATTGGAATCGGCAGATAATTAGTAGCGACAGAGAAGGACGATACAAACCACACTGTTGAGGGTGGCTTCCACTCCATAGGGTGACTCCTTCACAAAGGCTTCCTGGTCAAGCGCTGCCATTCTGCAGTCTGTACTCCGCCTGCTAGTTCCAGGCGACTTCAATGACTCTGCAGGCATGGTGTTCGACGAAAGTCCAGTAATCCCCCTCGTCGTAGTTCCACGAAAGCCGGCCACTTTCCGAGTATAAACACGAATATGCGAACTGGGTTTCAAGTGATTGGTCTGGTACGGACGGGGGATGGAGATTTTCGAGGTGGGTTTGTGAAGAAGAGCCGCCGTTGTAGCCATTGACGTGCAGTAAGGGAAGAAGAAAAAAGAAGAAACAAAAACTGTACAGAAGAAGAAGAAGAAGAAGAAAAAAAAAGAAGCAGCAGAAGTCGATGCGTGGCTGCATTTTGCTGATGAAATTGATGGGGTTAATAAAGGGACATGAGAGACGGAGTTAGATTTGTGACGGATAGTGGTGGTGGTAAGCCTTCCCATCAACTTCCAACTGAAGACGGCCGGCCGATGGATCAGCTTAATTAGGGTATCAAATCGTGAACTGTGTCTGTGTATTGGATTCCTTGTAATCCCTCCTCTTTGTCCAAACTCACACACAGCTCATTTATTCACATACTATCGTAGATCTGTAAATCTTTTTTTTTTATTCAATTAATTTAATCAAGTTGTTTAATTTAGGGTGGGCCTACGGTGACATGCATGTCATGGTGACTTGCACTTTCCGGTCGACCTCAGTTAGGATTAGGTCGACCTCATATAGAATTCGGTCGACCTCATATAGGATCCGGTCGACCTCATTTATGATTTGGTCGACCTCATATAGGATCCGGTCGACCTAATATGTGGTTTCAGTGTAAAAACAGTTCATGGTGCTTACTTTGGATATTCAGATCATACAATTGGCTAGATGGAAATTAAAGACTAATGACTTGTTTTGAAGCTGGAGTGTCCCTCTACATATTGAAGTGATTGAGAGCTTGATAGGAAGTCCAGAAGACCATTTTTGAACCTCATCAAAAGGCTATGCCAAAACTGGGAAACTGCCTAGAAATGGCTAAGTCTGGAAACGTGTTTGTGAAGCATGTTTTTGAGCTCAATTCGAGAAACATGAATGCGAGTCGAGTCCAGGAGCCTCTACCACGTTAAATTAGGTATGTTTTATACAAATTCAAGGAATTGGATGAAAGATTGGATATCTTTAAGGCTGCAAACAAAATGGTCGAAGTTGCTACGAAGGCTGTTTTTCTGGCAGACTTCGAGCACAAGCAAGCTGCCAGAAAAACAGCCTTCGTAGCAACTTCGAGCCTTTTGTTTTGAAGCCTTAAAGATATTCAATCTTTCATTCAATGCCTTGCCTTTGTATACAAAAATACGTAATTTAACGTGGTAGAGGCCCCTGGACTTGACTCGCATCCATGCTTGTCAAATTGAGCTCCAAATTAGGCTTGACAAACACGTTGCCAGACTTAGCCATTTTCAGGCAGTTTCCCAGTTTTGGCATAGCCTTTTGGTCAGGTTCAAAAATGGTCTTCTGTACTTTCTATTGAGCTCACAAGTACTTTAATGTGTAGAGGGACACTTCAGCTTCAAAACAAGCCTTTAATCTCCAATTTCCATCTAGCCAATTGTAAGATATGAATATCCAAAGTAGGCACCATAAAACTGTTTGTACACTGAAACAACTGATTAGGTCGACCTGATCCTATATGAGGTCGACCGAAAAGTACATGTCACCGTGACATGCATGTCACCGTAGCAAAGTCCAATAATTTAATCAAGTCTTTTCGAATGAAATATATTGATTTTATTATGATTTTATTTTCAAGTTGTTTCATCTACCAATGGTACTTACATCTATGATAGAGCCGTTGGGCAGAGGGGATATACGTGGTCTCTTTATTTGTCCTCGCGCGTGGATGATTAACTTTTGCAACCTAGCTTTAATTTCTCCGATGGAGTTGGGCATATTGAGGAGGGGGAATAACATCTTGAGTAGGATTCAGTGACGTCTGCCGGCGGTGCTGCTGAGCGTGGGTTATAACTCGGTATCTATTGACGACAGTTCCGTTGGTATTTACACAGCCTTCACATTTGAACTTCAATGTGAGACGTCTACTTCACAGATATGATCAAATTTTGTAGCCTTTCTCCGCCGATCGGATAATTGAGCACATTGAATTGAGGAGGGAAAACAACATCATGAGTAGACAGTAGTATTCGGACAACACTGCATTTCTTCTATGTCATGTTAATTAAAAGGAATACAAGAAACCTAGCTAATTAGCCGGCCAAGGAATATTAGATGCTTGCTTTTCTTCTATATATATATTTCATGTTAAATAAAAACAAATACAAGAAACATAGGCCAGACAATACTGTTGGGAGACGGTTATTCACGAAAATAAAAATTGAGAACTAGCCTGGATCTTAAACGGATTTAACAAAAATCGGACCAAATAGTTTCGCTCCACGCTATGGTTACCTAAGGTTACACAATCTATCAACTACAACACAATAGACTAGGGTTCTACATCATCCTAGTGAAGAAGGGGAGTACTACTTCATGCCCAGAGTGGAAAACACAACAAAATAGAAGGAAAACATCATGAGAAACTCTTCCTCCTTAGTTACTCGGGATGGCGTTGAAGATGAAATCAGGCCACCTTGGGTGTTGGGTAGCTCAATTAACCTTCAATCTCCTCTTTTTCGTCACTTTCTCTCACTAGGTTGAAGAAGATTCAAATTCTCATTTAAAAAGCCAACTCCTTTTGAAATCTAATTCCTCTCTCCTTTTATACTGGATAATGCACACTTCATGGTCTGCCGTCACGCCCGTGATGTGTGCAGTGAAACTGTGATCTCAGTTTGAACTGCACACACTTCACGATTTGCTTGTATACTTCACGCCCTGCACCCTTGATCCGTGCAATGCCCGCGAGACGTCCAAATGCTCCTGGAGACTTTATGGTTTCATGGTTTGGGGGTAATCTTCACGATCTCTGCTCGTCATCATTTGTTCTGAAACGTGATCATTGACAATTTTAGCACTTTGCCCCATTTTCTCTCACTTTCGACTTTCGATCCTTTCGCCAATTTCACCTGCTATTGACAGAAACATGTTAAAACAAGACGAAATCCAGCGAAAAATGACTCCAAAGACATTTCTACACAAGTCAAACAACAAAAATAAAGGGTATAAATGTCTATAAAATGGCTTGAATCACCCATTAAAATTAATTGATGAAAAGTTTAGTTAATTTTCATAAATGATAAATATAGCCTTATACATTATTATTTATTAGTATCTGCCATCTGGGTTCTAAATTTCTAATTAAGTTATGCCATTCTTTGTCCTTGTATATGGTATGGACCATTTTTGGGCGTTCTTGGTTTCCCTACTTTTTGATTTTTCAGCAGCCCGTGTTGGTTTTAGCGCATGGAATTTTCTCTTTCTGGTAGTAGACGCTTTGCCGGAACTCTGTCGCATTAGGTGTAGCCTTCAATGCCGTTTCTTGAGTAGAGTCCCTTCTCGTCTTAGTTGTTTGTAATTTTACCTTTTTGGTGGATGCTGTATCCACGCTTCCTGAATTCCTAACCTAAATCAGTATATGTAAATTTATCATACCCGTGCTCGATGGATCGTCTATTGAAAGTTAATTCAATAGATCGTTTCAGCGATATGAAATAATTGGACAATGATTTAGAAAATTCACTTCTATATTCGTTAATATGGCTCGATAATTGGATATCTTGAAAGAAGGTGACCGCTATGTTACATCCTAATTCAATGCTACTCAATAATTATAGATCGAGCAAGATATGTTTAGCTGCGTCACTACGATCTAATTAATTAATCACTTGTGTATTGTGGGGCATGGCATTTTTCTCAATTTTCACACAACCCTCAATAACCATAGGATCAAAGCTCTCAAAATTGAGACTTTAAGTAAAATCGCAAATGGGGTAAAATTGGAATCATAAAATTGTAGGATTTAAGGTTCATATAAAAAATAAAATGAAATAATATTAATATCGAAAATCACGAATAACTCAAAAACCCATAACAACAATGATAATTTCTCAATATTAATGTTTCAATTTATCAAAGTTAATGGTAAGAGGTGAATCGATGATAATTAATACGTTGATTAGAATTGATGATGTTAGTGTGAGAGAACTAGATGGTGTTGGTGGAGGAGAAGGAAAAGAGGCGTAATTTTGCAAATACTGAGGAAAATAAGTAAAATTGACTCAAAATTTTAAATAATAAAATCACAAGATTTTAAAGATTTAAATCTTGAATAGAGTAGGATTTTAAGGTCCATAGATTTTATAGTGAAATGAGAATCTGAATAGGTAAGTGAAATCTTAATATGGGGATTTTAACTACTCTGCACAGAAAAATCATATAATTGTATTTTTCAAAATGACATCCACTTTGATATATTTTAGAATAAAATATTGTGACATATTTTATCGGTCTGTACCATGATGATAATGCTTGATAGTATATAAAATTGCATGATTGTGGTATGAAAATATATCATGGTGGTAGGTTATACCACAACATAAATGACTGTATACATGATATTAGAAATATACTAACAACTATTTACAACTTTTCACCTTCTACCAAAATTACCACCCCTATATCATGGTGGTATAAGATTGTATATTTAGTTTTGAAATTTTTTCCAAAAGTTTGTATATTACAATAGATCACTATTACTCGGTTATTTTGTATAATTTTTTGTTGTTGCAAGATTTGAGTTAAAAACGAATATGGTATGGAGTAGTACTAAATTATACTAAGGTAGTAATGAGTGGTACTAAAAAATTTCAGGAACTAATAAAAAACAAATATAATTTTTTAAATCACAATGACACCGTTTTATTGGTGAAATTTTTTAAAACTCGAGTTAAAGCAAATAAGATATAAGAAAATTAAAAAAAAAAGGCAGGGAAAATGAAACACATTTTTTTTCATCCCTAGATCTGACCCTACTCAATATCAAGATCCATATTTTATTTTCTACATTTATATAACCATGAATTAT